CATACAATATTATATTAACTTCAGGTGGGCAACATATTGATCAACAATTCTATACATTACTGAATGCTCACTACAATAAGTATAGTGACCGTCGCCATATAATAACGTTATTATTGGCTATATTCCCTTGTACTGTACTTTTCATCTTGGTGAAATTTGCTGACTTCTTAAGAGTACCATGTTGAGACATCTCTCCATGCTTTTATGTGCTCTGCCTAGAATGTTCCATACCTTATTTAACTGGTCAGCTGCCAGCCATCGTTCAAGACCCTGCTAGGTGTTACTTTTGGAAAGATTTTCTTAATTTTTTCTCTTCCCAACCTCCTGTCCATACTCTTGCGCCCTTCCCCACCGTGTCCTATGGAGTGCTGCTGTCTAGGATGGGAGCCCCTAGCCACATGTGGCTGGTCAAATGCAAGTTAAACTTAATAAAATAAAAAATTCAGTTCCTCAGTTGCGCTAGCATATTTCAAGGGCTCTTTCTTTTTTCTTTTTTTTTTTTTTAAAGATTTTATTTATTTATTTGAGAGAGAGAGAATGAGAGACAGAGAGCATGAGAGGGAGGAGGGTCAGAGGGAGAAGCAGACTCCCTGCCGAGCAGGGAGCCCGATGCGGGACTCGATCCTGGGACTCCAGGATCATGACCTGAGCCGAAGGCAGTCGCTTAACCAACTGAGCCACCCAGGCGCCCCTCAAGGGCTCTTTCGCCACATGCGGACAAGGGGCTGCTGTACGGGATAGCACAGATGAAGAACTTATTTATCACAGGAAGTTCTATTAGCTCTGCACAGGGTTAACTATACTCAACTCATGTTGCCTCTTCCTTTGATACTTTGTTGATACTTCTTTTGACTCCATTGTTGCACTTATCACACTATTATTTATTTACATCTGTTTTTCTCTATTAGATTGTGAAAGATTGGAGGGCAGAGATGTGTCCTCTTCATCTCTGTGTATTTGGTTTGGATTTCAGGGTTTAGCATATTATAGTTTTCAACAAAAGTTTGAGTTGAACTGATACCATGAATTTTAGGAGGGAGAATTGCCTCTACTTGAAAGACTTCTAATAGTGAAGCAGTTATATGTCAGCATGTTTTATACATATATACATAAATACGTATTATAAATAATATCATAAATTTGTTATATAATATATATTTAGGAGAATAAATTTAAAACTATTTAAAACCTATTTCAACTTACTGAAAGAGTAATACATGAACATCTATATATGCTTACCCTAGAGTCAAAAATAGCTAACATTTTGCCATGTTTACTTTCTCTCTCTTTCTGTCTCTCTGTGGGGGTGTTGTGAGTGGGTGTATAAAATTTTCTTGCTGGTCCTAAATCCTTCAGTTATATCTCCTAAGAATGAGAATATACTCTGCATAATTATCATACCATTCACATGTAGGAAAATTAGCATTGACATTTCTTCATTTGTCCCTAGAATACTTTCGATAGCTATGTCTTTGATCCAGAAGCCAATCAATGTTTGTGTGTTGCGTTTTGAGATGTTACTTTTGTCTCTTAATCTAGAAAATATTACTGGTTTTTTATTTATATTTTTATGACATAGACATTTTTGAAGAGTACCGACCAGTGATTTTATAGCATGTGCCATAATCTGGATTTGTGTGATTGTTTCCTCAGGATTAATTTTAGGTTGAAGTGTGGTATTAAGCCCACATAAATAATTATGTGTACCATTTATTGCATTAAAATAGGAGGCACATAATTTCAAAGTGTCCATTAGTGGTGATTCTAAGTTTGATATCTTCGGGTGGTGACCATCATCTCTGTTATTCCTTTTATAATTAAAAATTATCTGTAGGGTCAGATCATGTGAATATCCCATTCCCCAGCAATCTTTTACTCAGTGTTTTACCATACGTTCATGATCTTTCCTTGAATCATTAAAACACTGATGGTTACAAATTGGTGATTTTCTAATTTTATCATTTCTTTTACATTTATTTTCTCACATATTTCTGTAAAGAAGAACTTTCTTTCCACTCCCCCCTTTTCCACTTTCCTCCTCCTTTCCCCTACCCCAACTTTTTTGAGTATCATTATGGACTAATGAATTTTTAAAATCACTATTCAATGTGTTATAAGAAATTGCTATAATTATTATTTTTGGCACTTAAATTTATCCCATATTTGGCTAGTGAGAGCCCCTTTAAACTTGCTATGTGTCCTTTTATATAACTTTGTTTTTAACATTTTCTTACTTCCTGAGACAACAAGGTATTCCACAATTGTCCTGTACATACTTTGCCCTAGACCTGAGCTCAGCTGTTTCTACAAGTAGCCCCTATTCCTGATAGTGGAGAATAGTATTTAGAAACCAAGGTCTGGTCGCAAGACATGATCATTGCTACTGAAGTGTTATTGCTTCTTCAGTGAACAGAGCTAGGAAATACAATTTTTGAAAAATCATCGGTTTATGCAGATACCTTCAATTTGTATTCCATTGTCACCTTCCCCCATTTTATGTGGATTTCTTTTCTTCCAGAGTGAAAATCCTGCTTTCCAACACCACGAGTATGTTTACTCATTAGGTCTACCCTTCAGTATTCTTCAGTTGATAGTATAATACCAATATTATGCCACTAGCAAGCCTACTAAGTAAATTTCACAATTTCTTTTCTCCTTAGAATCCGTCTCATTAAAGATATATACTCAGAATACTACTTGAAAGTTACTTGAATTCTTTTTGATCTACAGTTAGCATCATTTGTTTCTCTTTTACTCAGTTTGAAAGTTTGCTTTTTCATCCTTTTTGAAGTCTTATGCCCATTTTTATCCCATCTACCTCATGCCCACCCATCATCTATGAGAGGGAGACTTTTCATATAAGTTTGATTTCTGAGCCATGTAAATGTTTTCCATAAAATTAAACAGACAGGATGGTCAGAAATAATGTCAGTAATAATGACTCTCTTTATCCTCAATAGTGCTTTTTGCTTCGTGTTTTATATTTGTGTTCCTACATCAGCTTTTTTGTTTTCAGTTGGTCTGATTATCTTTTTCTAGCCCTTTCTTTAACCTGTGTGTGATTATGTTTTAGGTGGTATGTATACAATTTGAGAAACTGATTTTTATCTAGGTTACTTTGTAGTTGCTTTTATGTTTGAATTGGTTTTCTACTATGATATTATTTGGCTGCCTCTCCCTTCCCCCTTCCCTGCTCTTTTTTTTTTTTGCCTTCTACGGTATTGAGTTATTTTTACTTCATTTTTTTCTTTCTAATTATTTGGAAGTTATACATGCTATATCTCTTCTTTTAATGGTCATTTTTAATGGCCATCCTTCTCATGCTGGTTAGTGTGTGTTGGATGTTCAAATAAACCCATGCCTCTTTTTCATATGAACTACCAAATCAGGTTTGTTGAATTCTGGACTTTGACACTAAATTTTTTTTCACTGAAAGAAAGGAGACTGTATGTTTATTTTTTAAAAAAATTTTATAATCTTAATTTGGAAAGAGAGTCTCAGTCATGCTATATGAAGAAAAATTGACAGAAAACTGGACTGACCACCATCTTTCCTTTATAGCCTGCCAGCTACCTCCACCCCTCCCAGGAACCTAAGCACTGTTGAGGCCAGGAATATTATTCTGATTACTGCTCTATGCCTAGAAAAGTATCTGTGCATTAGCTAGACCTCAGTAGATGTATTAGTTGAATGAGTAAGTAGAAATATTTAGTCTGGAGAAGAGTGAATGGAGCAGTGGTGGGAGTGGGATGGAGGGCAGGAGAAATGGTGGAATGTTTTAGTTTGAAGAGCTTGCATGTAGGACAGTCATTTTGCTTGTTTAGAATGGCCCTGAGGGTTGAAGTGAGCGTGACAGCAGGGAAACAGAGGCTATCTACTATCAGGATTGTGTGGAGGAATAGAAAGTAGCTTCATTATACCATCACACCCTGGAATCAAGTTATTCCAGGAGAGTTCCATTAGAAGTAACTGGAGGGGGGAAATCAGAGGAGAACGAACCATGAGAGACTATGGACTCTGAGAAACAAACTGAGGGTCCTAGAGGGGAGGGGCGTGGGGGGATGGGTTAGCCTGGTGATGGGTATTAAGGAGGGCACGTATTGAATGGAGCACTGGGTGTTATACGCAAACAATGAATCATGGAACACTACATCAAAAACTAATGATGTAATGTATGGTGATTAACATAATAAAAAAAATAAAAGAAGTAACTGGAAAGGATTCAATAGTATTTAATCGCTCTGAGATTCTGTGCTAAGTGGATGGAATGCATTGCCATCCTTCATTTGCAGCCAGATTTAGGTTAAATTTTGATCTTAGACTTGCCCGATGATGATCTTAACCCTACTAGTAAAGTGACCATTTTACAGCATAACACTGGGTAGCCATCATTCTGCACACTTCCTTAGTAATCCCACATGTCCTGGTGCTTTCATTTTTCTGTTTGGGCAAATTAGAAAAGCAATAAGTAGGTAGATCACTGGTATGATTCACTTATTTGTCTTTTCTCTAGCAATGCAAACAGTGAAAGGCAGCCTGCATATTTTCTCTGAGATTTACTTTTGAATTATCTTTTTGTTTGATTATAGAATTATCTTAGTTTGATTTAGATATTTCCTGGCAGTGATATACAAATTGGGACAAGGAAAATGTAGTTTTATTAGTACCTGACCATCTAAATTAGTGCCTTGAGGGCTGCTTATAATAAAAATCTCTTCTCTTTCTCTTAGGGCTGCTGCTCAGAGTAAATTAGGTCACTACACAGATGCAATAAAGGATTGTGAGAAAGCAATAGCAATTGATTCAAAATACAGCAAGGCATATGGGAGAATGGGGTAAGTTCTGGCAAAATGTTCAAAGAAATACCAGGGAGTATCAGATTTGCTGTTCTTAATGGTTTGGTTTCCAATTTCCTGCTTAAATATTGCAAGGAAGATCAATATACCATTGAGAGAGGAAATGACTGCAACTTCTTTGACTTGGATAGAGGTGACCTGTTGTATGATGAATGGTTGGTTGTTGGAGAAAATCATACAACCATACTGAGTAGACTCACTTCATGTTCAAGGCCACAGATCTCAAATGAGTACTCAGTATTTTGGTGGACAATCCTACTATACTTCCTTCCACATTCACCTTACCACTTTCTTCCCACCTTCTCTTCTCTCTTCAAATTTCCACCGCATGCTCCATGGTGACTCTCAGCTCATGTTTGCCTTGTAATTAATTGAGAAAAATAGATGCATTTAGAAGAAAAGTAACTACTCTTCCTGCTTCTGAATCAACCAGTCCACCTGCATTTGTATCCTCACAGATTGCCTTTTGTTCCTGTTCAAATGGAAGGGTTCTTTTCTAAGACTTGCCTTCACTCATGCCATATATCTCATCCCTTTGTACCTTCCCCAGGACTTTATGCTTGGAATCCTCTCCTTTATCTTCTGCAACACCAGACTTCCTACCTCTATCAGTGACAATGACTCCATGTGGAAAGGTCATAGAAAATCACCCATTGGAACTGTCCTTTTCCCAGAGAGGCCCCTTCCCAGCTCTTCTTTCTCTGAATCGCTGCCATAGCTGCCTGTGTTTGCTGTCTCATCTCCCTCATGTCTCATTTGCCTTCCGCTTGCTCTGATAGGGCTTTCATCTCTGTCACTCTGTTGACAGCCCTGTTCACAGTCCCCGGTTGTCCGTATTTTCCCAGGGCCAGTGTTCACGTCTCTGTCCTTACCCTGCCCTGTGTTTTAGTATCTGGCATGATTAACTTTTTTTTTTTTCTTTTAAAGTTTATTTATTTAAGTAATTTCTCTACCCAATGTGGGGCCCAAACTCATGACCCCAAGAGCAGTCGCATGCTCTTCCAACTGAGTCACCCAGGCGCCCTGGCATGATTAACTGATACTTGAAATACTTCATTCTCTCCTCTTCTGTGACTTCACACTTCCTGGTTCTCCTTCTGCTTCACTGGATGCTCTTTCCCAGTCTCCCCTGCTGGTTCTTCCCTCTGTACCACCTCTAAACGACGGAGGACTTCAGGGCTCTCTCCTCTGCTGCTGCCATTTTTCTGTTCTCTCTTCTGATTCCAACCTGTCCCATGCTTTTAAATTCCATCTACAGTCAGTACTCATTATTCATGGATTCTGTATATAGAATTTGCCTACATGCTGAAATTTTCTTGTAACCTCCAAATCAGTAATCACTGTGCTTTTGTGGTCTTTCACAGAAGGGTGAAAAATTTGAGTCACTGTCATGCCAGTTCTCAGCAGAGGTCTGGTAAGATGATGCTCTGCCTTTTTGTTTTAGTTCTCATGCTGTAAATGAGCGTCGTTTTCAGTCTTTCTGGAGCTGTTTTTTCTTTCTTTCTTTTTTTTTTTTTTTTTGCATTTTCATGCCTTTTGTGGTTGATTTCCGTTTACAATGGCCCCCAAATGTAGGCTGAAGTGTTGTCTAGTGTTCCTAATCACAAGAAGGCTATGATGCGCCTTATAAAGAAAATATAGATAATTTTTTATGAGACATGAGTTAGTGCTGTTGGCTGTTAGTTCAGTGCCAATGAATCATTAATATGTATTAAATAAGGTTTCTTTAAAAAGAAACACACATAAAATAAGGTTAGGTTTTGATCTGTTGATGAAAATGTTGTGACCAAAAACTCACAGGAGCCCAACCCTATATTTCCTCTAGGAGCAATTGTTCATTATTTGCTAATTTATTGTTTGTGGTGACTTTATAGAATATAACTTCTGTTGTTAACGAGTCTCAACTGTATATGATGATGCAGCTCTTAGGTTATATGTCTGAACTCCGTACTCATATATTCAACTACTTTTCATCTCCACTTAGATGTTTGATAGGCATTTAAAGCTTAACATGCCCCCAAAAGAACTTTTGTTCCCTTCTTAAATCTTTCCCAGCTCAGTAAATGGTACCATCATTCACCTACCAGTGCCAAAAGGTCAAAAGCCTAGGAGTCATCCTTCAGTCTTATTATGCCTGACACAACTAATCTATCAGCAAGTCCTGTCAATTCTGGTTTCCATATATATCTTCACCTCAAGCATTGAATGCTATCTTGTTTCTAACCCTAGCCCAAATTATTATCTCTTACATAGGCTACTGCAGTAGCTTCATAACTGGTCCCCCTTGCCACCATTTTACCCATACCCATGTTGATTCATCTGCAGAAAAGCCAGAATGTTCTTTTCTTCTATTTTTTTTTTTTTTTAAGAGATGGGGAGAGAGAGAGAGAGAAGAGAAGGGTGAGGGGGCAGAGGGAGAGAGAATCTTAAGCTCCACACCCAGCACGCAGCCTAACATAGGGCTCAGTCTCACAACCCTGAGATCATGACCTGAGCCAAAGTCACAAGTCAGAGGCTTAACCGACAGCCACCCAGGCACCCCCCAGAGTGAATGTTCTAAAGCATAAATCAGATCTGTCACTCCATTGCGACGAGAATAAAATCCAGACTCCAAACCGTGGTCTTATATGATCTGGCATCTGATTATTCTCTGACATCATCTTTCCACACTTTATTTTCTGTGCTCCCTCCTCATCAGCTTTTGTCCCGTTCCTTAAGTATACCAAACACATCGTTCGCAGGGCCATTGTGTTTACCATGTCTTCTGTTTAGAATGCTCCTCCTTTGACTTTCACGTGACTGCTATCTACTCATCACTCACGTCTTTTCATTGTGGCTGTCTTTGAGGAGCTCCCCCTCTCTTTAACATTATGATTTTATTTGCATGTTTATTACTTATCTTTCCAGTTAGGATGGAATTTTCTTAAACTCAAGGGCTTTATCTTTCTCATTGTGAACTACAAAATAGTATCTGGTACGCAGTAGGGTTTTAATAAGTATTTATTGACTGTTGATTCATTGAGGACTCTGAAAAAATATCTTTCATTGTTGACTGGAAGAAAACGAATTAGGTTTTGAGAATTTTTCTGTGGTTAGACACTGTATTCTGTCTTGATCAGAAGTCTGGGAGGTAAGTCATCCAAGAAAGAAGTGGAATAATTTGTTAAAAACAACGCTATACTATAAACAAACCTCAATACTATCTATCCGTATATACCATTAGTGTATAGTTCTGAAGTAATTTTCTGATAAATCAATTCTAACTAGGGAGAGGAAAACAAAATTTAATAACAAACTCTTTGATCTGTGCCTGGGATAAAAATGTGTTGAGTTGTAAAGATGCTAATTTTATCTACTTCACACCTAAGATGTCCTCTTCACGAGTAGTCCACTGATACCCCAACGCCCATTTTTGTTTTTTATTTTTTTAATGGCAAATTGATATTTATTGTGGCTCAGTGTCTTTGTTAGGAAGAGGGAAGAAAATGGGGCATTAGGAAGCACACATCTAATTCAGAGTCCCTAAAATGGTTTTAGCATCATGAGTTATAATGGCCACAGGTTGTGAGTCAGCTCACATCTTTGTGGAGCTTTATCATTCATAAGGCAATTACTTCACATACTAGGCTTAAAATTGAAAGGGTAGGTAAGTGTCATTTCTAAGCATTAAATTCATGACTTATGGGACAGCTAAGGTTGTCAGCAAGCAGAATGGAGAGTCCAGACTTACAGAATCTTGGAATTAGAAGGAATTTTAGTGATATTCCTCTGAATCACATAGTACAGTGAATCAAGTAAGCGTAGTCTGGATTCGAATTGATTACCAAGACAGACGTTTGACTGTTGGTGATGTCCTGATGTTTTTCAAACGTATATCTTAAACTCTTATATTTTATTCTTTTCAGACTGGCCCTCACTGCCATAAATAAATTTGAAGAAGCAGTTACAAGTTACCAAAAGGCATTAGATCTTGACCCTGAAAATGATTCTTATAAGTCAAATCTGAAAATAGCAGAACAGAAGTTAAGAGAGGTATCCAGTCCTGTAAGTTATTAATGACAGATGAGGGAAATATTTTCTGTCATCCTCAATTTATTATAATCAAATTATAGTGGTTGGACTAATTCTCAGATATAATTGTTTTACAGACAGGAACTGGATTGAGCTTTGACATGGCTAGCTTAATAAATAATCCAGCCTTCATTAGTATGGTGAGTATATTTCCTTTTCTGCTCTGCTGGGTCTGTTTTCCACAGAGCTTTGTGGTTCCCAAACTTTTAGAAACCAATACGAAAGCTTTTGTGGTGGTGGTGGTGGAGTGGGGATACAGCACTCTGGCTCAGGTTTTTAACCTGCCTATGTACCTCTTTGTGAGAAAGCCATGGAGAGACTTTAGGAAGCCCACGGATTCCCTGAAAATGTATAAAAAATTTTTATACATGTGCACATATGCACTTTTCTATGGAGAGAACCATATTTTTCATCCAAGTGGCAAAGGGGTCTGCATATCTACAAAAGGTCAAAAACAACTCTTTTCCATGAAAGCAGCCCTAGGAAGATCTCTAATAATTCAAGTCTGAGTAGTTGGACTGTTGTGGTACCCTAAGCTCTCCTCTCATGGTCTGCTTCCTTTCTATCCTAAGAGTTTATTTGAACTTTTAGTATAATCCTCAGATGTATGTTTTCCATCCTGCAAAAACAACAAAATGACCCATGGATCTTTTTGAAAATGCACATACTCTGGTCCAGTTTGTGGAAACTCTGATTTAGTGGATTGGGATGTTACCTGGGCATATAAAGCTCCTTGAGTGATTATTTCTGGTTGAGAACGATTCGTTCCACCACATGCCATGCCCTTGGAAGGCGGCAGTACCACTTGAATTCATCTTTGGTTCTTTCAAAAAATGTGTCATGCATCCACGGAATCTTTGAATTGAAATGCACAGATGGCTCATTCTCAGTGAGATAAAGAAGTCTTTTAAACAATTAGTAGGTTTGTAGCAATTGGCGGTTTACAGTTGGTAGTTGAGATCTTTGTAGACAGTGGTTAATTTTTGAATCACTCACTCAAACTGAGGTGTTGGGAAAGCCACTACTTGCTTTTATTATCAGAGAGATAATTATTTGATTTGCAAATAATTCAGTAACTCTTCTCAAGTCTCAGGATTGAGCCCATCACATTTAAGTTAGTCTTCTTGTGTGCATGCCAGCATTTATATGGCTCTTTGTAGGTTTTGTGACATTTTTAGCATTGCTAGCCATTTCCAGGCCTCAGGTTATGCTATTGTAGTAAGATGTGAAAATGGATTTCTTCTAGTTTCAGATTTGTCTTAGCCCTCAAGATGCTAAGTACCAAAGTGTAGTGTTGCAAAAGGTGGCAGTTAAAAACATACTGTGTGACTTGTAAAAAAGAGTCAGGTTGATAGACAGTAAGAGGATTTTTGGAGAAAGCTATTGGAGTTACAGAGCCTTTCTCCATGTGTGAGGGAGTGAAGGGGGCCTGCCCTCCTCTCAAGCCCCCAGAGAAAGGGCTTTTCTGGCCCACTCCTGAGAGCTTTCCAGATGGCCCCCAGTAGGCTGGTGTCTGACCTGCTGGCTAAAGGAGCCTGTGTGGTTTAGCAAGTAACTGCACTGACGCCAGTGGAGTGGAGGGGTGTTTTCTGTGGACCAGGGTGAGCACACTTGCTCATAAGATAGTCCAGTGCGATCTGCCTGGAAAGGCCTCCTGGAAGGTGACAGGACCCCAACACAGAGTCTCTAGAGGAGGACTGCAAAGAACTTGGGACTAAAGGGAAAGTCACAGTGTCCATGCAGAGAGTCAATTATCCTTCTCAGAGGATAGATGAGAACTGGCCGGAGGGGCAGGAGTGGGAGAAGTTTCTGAAGGCCCTTAGAAAGAGCCCCAAGAGAGGTCCCGAGTGAACAATCTGCACATCCAAAGAGCACCAATGCAAAACCACTGAGATACGACCAGTGATCAAATAACTTTCCTGTAGCCCTGACTCTGTGGCTTCCTCGAGGGCCAGGACTCTTGCCCAGCCAGCTGGGGGGAGAGGCAGAGAAACACTGTGGTGAAGAAGAGCGGGCAGTTGTGCCTCTCTCTTCTGGTGCAACTGGCCCATGTGAAGTAGGCCCAGGCCGGGGAGGGGAAACGCTTTGCCTGTAAATGAAGTTTTATGTATTTGGTTATTACAGTGAGCAAGATGTGCAGTACTGAACCAGAGGTCATTTCCAACTTAAAGCAACTAGAGGGGGCCGCCTGGGTCGCTCAGTTGGTTGAGCATCTGCCTTCAGCTCAGGTCATGATCCCAGGGTCCTGGGATCGAGCCCCGCATTGGGCTCCCTGCTCAGCGGGAGGCCTGCTTCTCCCTCTCCCTCTGCCCCTCCACTCATCCTCTCACTTTCTCAAAAAAAACCCAAAAGACAAAAAAGCAACCAGAGGACTGCTTACTTAAAAGTGACCAGAAAAGCCCTAGGATCTGCTCTGTATTTCTTCTAGGTCCTAGAATCTAGAAGAGGATGAACTGCTTTTGCAGAATCAGATTAAAAGGATTGTGAAACAAAAGGCTTTATATTTATAGCTCGTAAATCCTGCTTTTTCTGTGTAAAGACCATAGTGCTTGTGTGTTGGTGCAGAGGCACCAGGCCTAACAAAGACTTGAGGAAAGTTACTGAATTGCTTGCAAGGAAGTCAAACAGTTCTCTTTATGGCAATGAAGCGAGGGATGGCTTTTCCCAACACCTCATTTAGGGTCAGTAAATCAAAATTACTGTCTACAAAGATTTAGAGTAAAATTTACAAGAACATTTGAGGCAAAAAAAAAAAAAAAAGATTGATATGCTTTCAAAATAGAAAGTTTTACAAGTGACCTGAGCCAAAGGCAGACGCTTAACCAACCGAGCCACCCAGGCGTCCCATTTGCAATGTATTTTCAATGCCATTTTTCCTAGTACTTCCTTTTTTTACATTCATTCACTTTGTTTAAAAGTACACTAAAACTAGGGGCGCCTGGGTGGCTCAGTTGGTTAAGTGTCCCGCTCTTGGTTTTGGCCCCAGTCATGATCTCAGGGTCATGAGATAGAGCCCCTCATCGGGTGCAGAGCCTGCTTGGGATTCTCGTCCCCTCCCCACCACTCCTGTTTCATGCACGAGTGCTCTCTCTCAAAAAAAGTACACTAAAACTCTAAAGAATGTTAGAACATGTGTGGTTTAGCTTTCATTCCTGGTTTTGTTTTTTTTTTTAATCTTTATTAAAGACTCTTAAATATTGACTGCCTTTAATGGGAGATGCCATTTTTAAATTCCAGGCAGCAAGTTTAATGCAGAATCCTCAAGTTCAGCAGCTGTAAGTATATTTTCCCCTCCCATCTGCCAGGCTCCTAATTTGAGCACATCGGCTCCACATGATAAGTGGTAAACGGTAGATGAATTCCAGCCAATTAGAACTTAGAGCCATTCACATTTGGCCTTCCTACACAGCGCGGGTATATTTAACTGACTTCTCCTTAGCCAGTATCCTACTTGTTAAGAATATATGCCCATCTCATTGATGTATTTCTTGCCTATTCTAGAATGTCAGGCATGATGACAAATGCTATTGGGGGACCTGCTGCTGGAGTTGGAGGACTAACTGACCTGTCTAGCCTCATCCAAGCGTAAGTGTTACTTAAGATAGAAATAGTAAAAAAGTTTATGTTTTACAGCTTGTCTCTGAAGTGAAGGGACCAGGGCTTTCTTTTAAAAATTTTTTGACTGTTAGTATCAGTGGCCTCAGTCTAAAGAAATTTATAACATGGAATTTTCAGATTGAAGGGCAGGAATTCAGAAGATCTGTACCCATGAAAAAGTTTTTCGGCAGATTTGAATAGCTACTCAAGGATATAGATGAAAGTCAAATATATGCTTAAAGTATGTATTAATTTAGGTAGACTCATATATTTAAAAATCATGTATTCCATATATTAATGTCCCGACAACTTAGGAAACTATTTTATTTGCACTTTTTCAGTACATGTCATCACCAAAGGAACTCCTTGATCTTCTCATTATTTGAGCACACTACCTTCACTTCTACCCAAGTTGCTTAAGATACTCTGCATTTTGAACTGATTTTTGAATCTGTGTGTCATGTTGCCACTGGAAATTTTATATGAAGACACAAGGACCGTTTGCTTTTTGTGATCGCAACCATGTAACCCACTTACAAGATTGCCATTTTTAGAGTGATCTTTATGTGGCATGATTCTAGTGATATGTAACACTTGCAGTTGAAGAATACACATGGAGGAATTAAGATTCTTTGCCTTTGTAAAAATCAGTTATGTCAGGTGACATATAGGTGATGAGAATGGGTATGGCACCTATCATACCTGATGACAAGAAAAATTCCTTGCATTGTATTTGAGCACCTACAACGAAAGTATGTACTGTTCAGCCCTTTGTTTATTTGTGGTTAAGCCCTAGTGGGGGTGGATTTCACCCTGATTTCAGGAAGTCACTTTTTTTACCATGGTTGTTTTGTTTCTTATGAAGAACACTGCACTGTAATAATGCTATATAGAGGTTATTTGTAACTGGAAGATACTAAAATCAGGCTTCTATAAACAGATCTAAGATCTGTTTTTATAGAAAAAGTTCCCTTTGAGTAATACCCACATCCTCTGCAGTTCTCTTTGCATGGGTATGATATGACTACAAGTTCCCTAATTCATATCACTTTGCCTCTTCACTACAGGGGACAGCAGTTTGCTCAGCAGATACAGCAACAGAATCCTGAACTTATAGAGCAACTTAGAAATCACATCCGGAGCAGATCATTCAGCGGCAGTACTGAAGAACATTCGTGACTTGACCAGGGACCCTGGCCCAGAGCACAAATGATTATGGCTCTTACGTGTTTGCTGTAGATAGTGGCCAAAACAAAGACACCTAAAGAATCAATTTATCTAGACGATAGGTTTAGCATAAAGACTTGAACATAACGTGACTCCTTTGCAAACAAATGATCAGTAGCCCTGTGGAGTGCCAGTGTAGTACTGGACAGGGTTCCATTTTCAAATCCTCATCATCGTATTTGTATGTTAGACCTAATAGCAGAGTTCATTTATTGAACAGTAAGGCTGTTTATTGGTGAGCTCTCCAGCTCCAGATTCCCGTAAGCAAACTTCTTTGAAAGATGGAGATGATGAAGAGGAAAGGTTTCTCATGCTGGTTTAGGAGAAATATCCTGGCCACTGAACAGCGTGTCTGGAGAGAAGAAATTTATTGTCTAGATTTCATTTGGAAAGTGCTCTCAGGACTGAATATAGATCACAGGGCCAGTACTATCTTTAATGCTGCTTGTTCTGATGGGTAACAGGGAATACTGAGAGCTGGTGGAAAGCAGCATTTGGCACAGGGGTTGTTTTTTGAAAAGGAAAATAGATGCTGTGAATGTACAGAGAGTGAAGGTAGGCTGTTCAGGTTTTCTGCATAGTTCTTAACTCATCTTGCCTGCAGTTTGGTCTTGATAACATTAGCATGGCCAATTACTCTAAGAACATAATAAAATACATTTAGAAATCCTTAATGGTTCTTTAGGTCCTTTGTATAACTATTCCGTTTAATGTACACAATTTCTCCAGTGGTGCCCTTACCATGGAAACTCTCAAATATATTTACATTTAAATAAGCCAGTGGTTTGACCCTCAAGTTAAGGATTTTCTAAGTGGCATTTAATTATGTGCATATAAATACTGATTTTTTAAAAACTCACTAATTATTTGATGGATTAAGAAAAGCTTCTAACATTGCTTGTTCATGTAGACCTTTGCTGTAATTTGGCTTGGCATGTTGCTTTTATGCTTAATCCTAATTTGATGCAATGTAAACATAACAGGGGACTTAAAATATTTCACTGAAATCAGAATTCATAGTAGTTAATGAAGAAATGTGGCATTAAGTATTAATGGCATGGCTTTAACTACAGTGATGGAAAGACCATTCTAACTGGAATTTCTTTTGTTAATTACGGAATTGGTAAAGTTGGGTGAACACACAATTTCACAAGTGTTGTGAGAGACAACTGAAAAAGTAATACAAAATTAAGTTAGTAATACTCATGATGATGAGGGCTTTACTATAACTACTGTCCTCAGAAGACCTGGTATCTGTAAGTTTAAAAACCAACTTTTCCTTTCTTTCCCTTGTGAGATTAGAACAGTGGTTCTGTAATTTCATTGTAAGAATTCATTAAAAATGCAATTTTAATGTGTCCTGTAGTAAGGCCTAGGAATCACCATTTTAAATAGTATACCAGGTGGTTCTGATGTAGGTCCAAGGACTCTAATTTAGAGGAACGGTTAAGTTAGAGACTTCTCTTCAGACCAGCAAATACATGACTGCCTATATTCACGCTACAAGGAAGACCCATATAAATCTATAGTTCTGGCCAGAGAAGAACAGGACTTAAAATTTTAGGCCCTCTGAATGAAATCTCCTATATTCCATCTATGCCAACTTAATTTTTTATAAAGTTAAATTCAGGTTCTAGTGTTCAAGTGTTATACAGAATGAAGTACTGACTATTCACATGAAAGGTAGGGCTGTTCTGGAAAAAAAAAAAGTGAAAGGTGATCCACAATTAAAAATTAGCTACTCTTGGGGCACCTGACTGGCTCAGTAGGTAGAGCATGTGACTCTTGATCTCAGGGTCATGAGTTCATGAGTTCAGGCTCCACGCTGGACATAGAGCTTGCTTAATTAAAAAAAAAAAAAAATAGCTACTCTTATCCAGTGGTAAGAAAAAGTTTCTATCAAAACTATCTTGAGTGCATTAAAATGCTTTTATATCAATAAAATTGGTAAGCCTCTAGGTGACTGACTAGGAAAATAAAGAAAATACAAATCAACAGTGCCAGAAGTGAAAGGGGATATCACCACAGCCTTCCGGACTTTACAGGGATAATCAGAAAATACAATGACCAACTCTAGGTCCATATACTGCACAACTTACATGAAACAGATTAATTCCCTGTAAGATAAAAATTACCAAAGCTCAGTGAAGAAACAGATATCCTCCAGAAGAGCAAGCTACGGGCCCAGATGATTTCAATGGTAAATTCTACCAAACATTGACAGGAGAAATACTATCAATTCTACACTATCTCTTTCAGAAAACAGAAGAAGAGGAAACACTTTCCAACTCATTTTATTTAGCGATTTACTCTGATACCAAAATTGTTATAACACATTATAAGAAAAAACACTTTAAAACAATGTCTTGATTTGCTAGTATCTATAGTTAAGGTAAGCCATTCTTTTTACATAAAGAGCTGGTATATTCCTTCCATTTCAACTTTCTAGTTTGTTTCTTGGTTGATATACCACCTATAACAAATTCAATCTAGGTATACCTTCATCACTTTGGAATCACTGCAAATTATTTCAAGGAAGTTTTGTGCAGTTTGATTGTGCTAGCTACTCTTAAAATTATAAGGGATGCCCCAAATACTATGCTGGCTTGTCCTGAACAAGAGGACATGAAAGTCAATCTTTATATATATTCTACTTAGGAATGACTGGCTTCTGTTAACCACACTTCACTGTAATAGCTGTGGCTGTCATGATGCTATGGAAAACTTAAAAAGTCCTTTTTATGCAAATGACATTTTCATTTAATGTGACAAACTGTTTATCTAATTTTTATAATATGGTTTAAACAGATCCTAAGATGACATTATCTAACCTTTATTTAAAGAATGGACAATGTGTATCATAAAAGAGACTTTGTAATTAAATCAAATTATATAGCAGATGCCAAGTGACCATTATATGTTACTTTTAAAATTTGGAACAATGAAACAGAAGGTTCAGGCATGAGAAGATGCTTAAAAAAACAATCGAAATACACAGTGCAGTGGATATATAGTCTTATCATTTAATCATCCTTACTCATTCTGGAAGAAACACAGACTTCAGCTTTATACTGCTTCCACTTTATTTTGCACAGGTATTTCATTATTAGTGCAACTTAAGGGGCAAATCTCATTCTGAATATAGCTTTACTCTGGACCAAATAATTTGTCATGGCAATAAATAATTATGCATTTAAGAAAAACCAATTTTTGTATTTGACTTAATGCACTCTAACATTTAAGCAATTATATTTACATCCTTGAATTTCAACTTACCAAAATAAGTTTTTATTTAACAGCATAAGCTTTTGGTTTCCTTACAAAATATCGAAACTTATGTATTCATGTTGCAAACTTGTTTACAATCTTAACTTTCTTACTCTTTTGTTCCTGGAATAAGTAAATCACTGTGATTACATACAGAGACAGTTTTATAGTATTAATACATGATGTAGAGTTCAAAATCAAATAGCAGAGGTGGAAATCCTTTAAACATGCCTTATGAAAATAAGGGGCTTATTTTTCAATGTGAAAAAAAACCCAGGACTTTTTGGCTTAGAATTAGAAAATTATCAGGATTCTTAGTTAAAAGTTAACAGAGTAATCAACAATCCAAGAAATTAAACCAATTCTGATCCGCTGTTAGTAACTGAAATTTAGACATGTGTGTTAATATGTAACCACAAACATAGGTACATACAAACAGAATAACTGAAAACTGAGGAGAACTCATACTGTGTTAGCAATATCCTACTCTCATTGTCTTAAGCTTTTTCTGCTGAGGAGTTAGGAAAAAAACTGGGGTTAATTGGAAAATTTTAAATAAAGTATTGTAAGAATCGAAAGTTTTAAACAACTGTATCTTTTGGACCAAGGTCAGCAAACGACGGCCTACAGGCCAAATCTGGCCAGTTGCCTGTTTCTGTAAACACTGCCTGCTCTTTTTGCCTCCTGGCTGCTGACCCACTACGACAGCAGAGTTGAGTATTTTCAACAGAAACCACATTTCCTGCGAAGACAAATATTTTGTATCTGGCCCTTTACATAAAATGTTTGCTAACTCCCCGTTCCAGATACTTGCTAGGGACAAAGAGCCTCAAATACAGAGCTTTTGGAGAACAAAGTCTAATGGTTATCTAAAAATGGAATAGGCTGAGTGTAGAAAATGTACAAATGTCCATTCAGAATATAACTCACAAGATAAAATCCGTAGATGGTTCTTTTCAAAACAAATATTTAGTATTTTAACTTTGGCAGGAAAGAAATTTAAATAACAGGTACTTATTTTTGTGGTAGACTTCATCATTTCACAAAGGTGACAAAAATACAGAGAGTTCTGTGAAATTCAATGAAAAGCATAACACTGGAAATCTTCAGCTCTCCACTTTAATGGCCGAAGATACCACACAGACCTGTGCGATGTCATCATATTCATATGTTCTCTTTAAGAACGTGTCTGTTAGTCTTAAGCCGGAGACACTCTATTGAGAGAAAGACAGAGGCATGAATTTTCATTCATTGGTAATTACCAGAGAAAATGTGGAAGGAGTCAATGCCCATGGGTTAATAGTCCCCAGATACCGAAATGACTGAACAGAGTACGCACCTGCAGTCCCTGTACTGAAGACAGCAGAGTAAGGGCAAGGCAGAGAGAGGAACTGGGATGCAGCTTTCCAAGCTGTCTTCCTGAAATGCCACACCAGTGGAGAGAATTGGTATTGCACATTTCCAAAACCAGATCCATAGTCCTTTCACTGCTGGAGGAATCAGAAAGACAGGAATAAATCTTGTTCCTTTCACAAAGCGGTACTTGGTGTTTCTTCCACTAGTGCCAGTGAATTTGTTTTCAGGGTGTCCATGAGAATAAAAAGCAGAATCAGAAATAAAAAGCTGTAATGTCATTTTTATTTCACTGAAGACAGAATCAGGAAAATAAAAGGAGATGGCATCTTCTAGGGTTTAAAATGGCACTGAGATTGATCTGCCTGACTGGATATAAGCCTTCTGGTTCTATTATTGAATCCTGGCTCCCTGGTGCTGATCTGTTAACAGCTCTGCCATTTCTCTGGGAGACTTCCAGACATCTGTGTCTAATCTCGTTATGTTTTCTATTTCTGTTAGGTACTCTACAGGAAAGAAGAAGATAAACTGATTCTTTCTGCTATTTAACCTATGTTCCTTTACCATGCAGATAACACAGAAAATGACAAGATTTCTAAGTAAATATTATTCAGGTTTGTTCACTGGTCACATGATAAGACTGCTTCTGCTTATAAGTGATATCACCAGTTTAGCTTAAACATGTTAAAAAAAACTTTCAATGACGGCATACACATTTTTTTTTTTTTTAAATAACCAAGGCTCAAAGTAAATTATAGGCCTCTGCTCTACCACCATTTCTGGCAACTTTCAATTGTTTTAACTCTTTTTCCTCCTAATTGGCTCCTTATTTTGGCCATTAATTGATTTGCTACACCTCAAAAAATGTAAGCAAACAAAAAATCCAAAAGCACACCTATACACACAGGGTCTTGACCCTGTACATGTTGCTGTTTAGTGAACTTCCATGATGTGGCAGGCAATGCTTTTCCAATGGCAGGTAAGACATGATCCCTTTTATTGAATAATGCATAATCTAGTAAGGAAGGGACTATATAGCAATATATGAATGTCACTAAAAAACTATATAAAAATTTGCTAGGACAGAGAAAGGAATGGTTAACTGCATGGGAAGGTCGCTAGCTTCAGAGGGAGGAAGGTATTTTTGTAATTCTGAAGGCTAAATATTTCCTATATCATAAAGTTGGAGTGGAAATGGAATTTTAAAAGATTATATATTCAGATTATGTGGGATGGGATTCATCATTGCAATAATTTCAAAATGCCCCAACAAGTAATAATATGAGTTTCACTACAAGTGACAGGACTGGAATTTAATTCTCGGTTTTTCTGGCTTCAAAGCCCTGTGCTCTTTGCATCCCAACAGCTAGATTATACTCTATTATCAAGGCCCTATTTTATCTATGATTGATCAAGCCCTTGTATTAAGTTCATAACCAATTTTTACTTTCTTAATGCTGAAGATACAGTTCAGGTATAAGTGTAATTCAGAAAAATCTATCTTATTACATTAAATCTATAATGTATTATTCCATAAAAATGTGACTCATTCATGCTTTAGTAATCTGAAGAGTGAGGAAGTGTAAACAATGAAAAGAGCATGGACTCTGAAGTCAATTAGACCTGGTTTCAAATTCTGGCCCCATCTTTTCTAGCTCTCTCAGCTTGAGTAAGTCACTTCACCTCTGAGTTGGTTTTTCTCTTGCATAAAATGTGAATAGCTAGTACCTACCTCACAGGGAACGATGCATGAATGAAATAAAATACAGAAAATGCCCAATAAAGTAGGACCTCAAAAAATGTAATGTATACAGCTACCAGATGAAGGACTTTACAGTATTCAACACCAACATAAGAGAAGGCTTACGTCAAGAGGAAACTTAAGACAGCATACTCAAAAGGCATTAACTCTCTTTGACGTAGGCGGGGAGGAAAGGACACCCATCCACAAACACTGCCATTACCTGCAGTTTGTTATTTTACAGGTAATATGAAAAGGTTCTTCTAGGTTTACGGTATCTGGGATTGCCTCCAAAGACAATCTAACATCTCCATAACCTGGAGCCTAAGAGAAAAAGCAACAGAGTTAACATACATCTATTATAAAACCTTTCCACTTTAATAAAGGTACCCCACTAGCACATTCAC